CCTACACCCTGTCCCCCTACCCCCCAACCCCAGGCATTTATCCCCTGCTCCTATCTACCCTCTGCTGCTTCCCTGTCTGTAACCTCTCCTGGGGGATTCACCCTCCAAGGTTCCAGTCTGCTCCCTGCCAAGGACTCCTCTAGCTCCTGGGCCAACCCTGACCTGAGTCCCACCCTGTCTCCTGGTATTCTAGAGCTGATCTCCCCAAACCCATGCTGCTGTCTTTCAGCATCCACAGGAGTCCTGGTGAGTTGGGGGTGACAGCACCTCAGCCCTCGAAGCCCCCATCCAGCTCCCCGGCCCTGGCTGGGCCTCTGCTGTGGCACCTACCGCAGGTGATCGAGTGTGGGAATGAGGTGTGGCCCCATCAGTGTTTCTGTTGGACTAGGCATCCCTCAAAGGCAGGGACGGGCCTGGGGGTGGGGTGGGGGTGGGTGGAGAGCTAGGAAGTGTCCAGCCAAAGCTGGCCGTGGGTTCTGTGGCCGCCATCACTTGCTGAGGACCACAGGGGGGTCCAGGAGTGATGCTAATGTGAGCCCATCCTTTGCCTGTCCTCCTCCCAGGTGGCCCAGGGGTCAAGGAGCACAGATTGGGGACCGGGGCTTCTTGCTTCTGCTTCTTGCTCCACAGATGCTCCAGCCTCAATCCCCCTGGGTGCCAGAGCCAGAAACTCATAGGGGCTGGGCGATGCTTGGCACCCTACCATTTCTCTCCACCACCCCCAGAGGGACCCTGCTCAGACCCACTCCTCACCATATCGCTTCTGTGCTGGTGCCTGAGGCCCCTGGCAGTATGAGGGCTGCCCTCCTGCCAAGCCACTCAGCTGCTGCTCAGAACAGCTGTACGATGGCTGCTCCCTGAAGGAGTGCTTCTCTCTGACTCAGAGTCACCAGCCCCTGCCGTGAACGCCTCATGCCTCCTTCTGAGGCAGGTGGCTCGTTCAAGGCCCAGTTCCAGAGGCTACCTCCCTGTAAGCCCTTGATGAAGCCCTGGGTGGGTGCGGGGGTGGTGGTGGTGGTGGTGGTTCCAGGCTCTCTCTGTCTTGTTTTCTGAATGACTGTGTCCATCCCCAGCACCCTCTGTGTGTCTGCTCCAAAGTGACCAATAAATGCTGATCTAATGAAGGAAGAAATGAACAAATGTCTGAATCCGGTGCTGAGCAGAAGGATGAATGACTTGTCTCTCACCTTTGGTCAGCCCTTGACAGTGACATCAGTCTGCCTCTAGACCCTCAAGCAGCCCCTCAGGTCCCCCCCACTTTCCCCAAGGAGGTGGCAGCTCTCACCTGAGCAGGGTGGAGGTGACATTGTAGCTGCGGTCTTCTTTCAGCTCGTAGGTGGTGGCGTACATCTTAAACTGGCCTTGTTTTTCCTTCTTAAATGCATTCCCTGCCAAGCCTATGATGTACCACTTCCCCTGGAACTACAGGGGGCTGTAATAGGCAGAGCCCACAGACGACCCTAGGGCCCCCGCCACTGCTCTGTCCCTGCAGGCCCTGAAACAGGAGCCCCTGTAACTAAGCAGCAGAGCCTGGGACTGGGCATTCAGTTCCTGCACTGATGAAGCCAGTGGGAGCCGGAGGCAGCCAGGCCAGGAGGGAACCCAGAGGATGGCAGGGAGAGGGCGACCCTGGGCAGAGTGGCCAGCTGGCCTCCCTGTGCCTCAGTTTCCTCCTCACGCAGAGGGACTAAAGGTGTTCCCACCACACATGGACTACAGCAATTATGGGAGAGAGACTGGATCTGGGAACGTCTGCCCAGGTGATCCTCTTGTCAGCAAGGTCGGGGTCGGTGTCGGGCAGTGGAGCGTGGCTTCCATCTGGGGAGCCAGGGCAGGCTAAGCTGAATCCTGGGTGTCCTGCCTTTACCTGTTTGCTAGGACTCTTCACCTCTCTTCCCCGCTGCCTGCACTCTTCCCCGGGCACGCCCTGCAGCTCTCCCTCCAGGGCCCTTACCTGGTCAGGCTGGAAGTTGGGCTGCAGCGGGACCCTGAACAGAGGTGGGGCTGGGATCAGGTTGGGGGTGGAATCCTGGGCTTGGGTGTGCAGGGCCCCCAGCAGGCTGAGGCCCAGCCACAGGAGACCTAGGGGCATGGCTTCAGGGCTGAGCAGGCTGGCGTTCCCTACAGCAGCTGAAGGGGGAAGTGAGTGTGGAGGCTGCCTGGGCAACCCTGTGTATGGTCCACCTGCCTCATGGCCCCTCCCAGGGTGGAGTGATTCATATTTTGCCAAATCCAGGAAGGGTGAGGCAATTGCCAGCACTCGTGCTGAAACACCTGGCAAGATTTCTGCCCCTTTCCCCGCTGGTCAGGACTGTGCAAGACCAGGGGGCAGAAGGTGGGGAGGGGACATTGCCCAGAGCTCTGCACGTCTGGCAGGCACAGGGGCTCCCTCCACTCTCTCTGTGTCCCTTCCCTTCATTCTGGTTGGCTCTGTATATGGTCGGTGGTCCCCGATCAGGACAAGCTGTCATCTCTGACTTTCAGGGGCCCCTGCTCAGCCCCAGCCCGGGGTGGGTATGTGTGGTGAGACCCCCTTCCCACATCCAAGGAACACAGACAATTGCTCACCCCGGCAGCCTATGTGCTGTGGCCTGGCTCTCAGAAGGGACAGGGAAGGGTAGGGCAGCTGAGAGTGAACATTTCTGACCAGGAATGACAGAGAGTGTGGTGTGTGCCCTGAGCTCTCGGAGCCCAGATCCTGGCTCTCCCAGGGGCCGCACACCAGGCCAGAGGCTGAAGGAAGAGCCCCTCCCCTCCTCCATGCCTCTGACCTTAGCCAACCCCTAAAGGACTTAGTCCCTGCTGTGGGCCCAGGGGATGACACCCCAAGCTGGGCATTAGAACCCCACGTGTGGACACTTGGCAAAGTAGAGAGCAGGTGTTGCGGTCCCAGCGCCATGCTGGTGGGGGGCAGCACGGGGCATGCATCTGTGCCAGGTGAGGGGCACTGGGGGCTGGGGCCTGAAGGTGGGCTATCCACCCAGCTGCTCTGGACACCAAGTGCTTTGGGGCACAGGGAATGCAGGGACTTGGACTTGTCTTTGAGAGGTCCTTGAGGCCATCTGCTGTCTCTGGCCACAGCCTTGGAGCCCAGTGCCCTGGGCGTGGGACCCCAGAGTTGTCCCTGCCATGGCTGATCCCAGCTTTGTCCTTGGAGGGATGCAGTTTCTTCACTGGGGCCCTGGCCATCCTTGGGAGGCAATGGTGGGTCCCAGGCCCTGGGAAATGTCTCCCAGATAGCTCACCACGAGGGCCAAGGCTGTCTGGATGCCTGATCTGTGGCTGAACTGAGGATTCGCTGGCCTCGCATGAGACTGACGGGGACCTCAATGGCTCTGCCTGCCTGCTGCTTGGGAATCAGCTTCCCCAGCCTAGGCTCTAGGGTGCCAAGCCCTGAGGGGAGGGGCTTTGGAGGCGTCCTGAGCTGGTGGGTAGGACGCATCCTACTGAGGCAGAGAGGCCCCCACAGGACCCCAGGCCTCTCAGGCCCTGAGCTGCCGGCCTTTGCGGGTGATGAAAGCACAGGAAGTAGAGATGAGGAAAGCCTCTTCCGGGATGTTGCCACCGAAGGCCGGGCCCTCTGCAGGCACCCGTGGCCACCCCCACCCCACCCCTTTCATCACTGCTCTCAGCCCCAGGGCCTCTACCCCTGCTATTCTCTTTGACCTTAAAAGGTACCCTCGAGTCTGTGGTGACTCCTAGACGTTGGGGAAACTCATGGATGGAGGCTCAAAGAATTTTAAGTAGGAGAGGGACAGTACCCTGGATCACCAAGGAGCCACTGCAGGGAATATTCTAGATTCTAAAAGTCAGGGTTGGGACTTCCCTGGTGGCACAGTGGTTAAGAATCCGCCTGCCAAGGCAGGGGACATGGGTTCGAGCCCTGGTCCGGGAACATCCCACATGCCACGGAGCAACTAAGCCCGTGCGCCACAACTACTGAGCCTGTGCTCTAGAGCCCACGAGCCACAACTACTGAGCCTGTGTGCCACAACTACTGAAGCCCACACGCCTAGAGCCCGTGCTCCGCAACAAGAGAAGCCACTGCAATGAGAAACCCGCGCACAGCAACAAAGAGTAGCCCCTACTCGCCGCGGCTATAGAAAGCCTGTGCACAGCAACGAAGACCCAATGCAGCCAAAAAAAAAAAAAAAGTCAGTGTTACTCTGAAAAACAAAAAGGAATGGGTCCTAAGAAAAACACTAACTGAATGAGATAGAAGGAGGAGTGGCCTGTTCTCGTCCATGTTTTAAGATTTCCCATTGATGTTGATGAGCAATAAATAAGAAGACCTGTTCACATTTTTGCTCACATTGAGCGATCTCATAAAAAATAAAAAGTCAGGGTGAGGGAATTCCCTGGCGGTCCAGTGGTTAAGACTTGGCGCTTTCACTGCTGTGGGCCCAGGTTCGATCCCTGGTCCGGGAAGTAAGATCCTGCCAGCCGCTCAGTGTGGCCAAAAATAAAATAATAAAATTAAATTAAATTAAATAAATAAAACAGTAAAATAAAAATAAAATAAAATAAAATAAAGTCAGGGTGGCCAATGCTCCCCTGGTATGAATTGGGGAGGGGTGTTTGGGCCGGGTCTGCAGCATGTGAAAACCAGGGCCAGGTGCAGGAGGGGAGACGGCCCAGCTACCCAGCTCAGGGGCCCCTGTTGGAGTCCTGACGCCTCCGGGTGCTTGCAAATCTCTGTCCACCCCCCACACACACACTCCGTCAGTTTCCCCATCTGTAAAGAGAGCTGCGGGCAGATCCTGCGAGGCCATGCAGCTGGTGCACACACGGGGGGGTCTCTACAGGACGTCACCTCTGAGTTTCTGATCACACCCACGCAGGGCCCGTTCTCTCTGTGCTGGCTCCAGGCCTGTCTCAGACCCACTGGCCTTGTCTGTCTCTCCGTCCTTATCTCCGTGTGGTCTTGGCCTCAGCTGACACACCTGGTGACAGCCATCTCATCACCCCTTCCTCACCTGGATGCTTTCTGCCTTCTCTCCTGGCCCAGCCCTGGAGATTGGCCTGGTCCAGGAGCCAAGGGAGGAGTGAAGGGGACGAGGCCTGTCCAGGGATTTGAGTCTCAGCAGTGTGCCGTGTCCCAGCCATACCTCGTGGGGGTCCAAGGATGGTCCTGGCCTTGGCTGGAGCAGAGGTCAGGCCAATCCCAGCCAACAAGAGGTGGGTTTGGGGCTGTGTGGAGCTGGGTGGCAGGAGATCAGCCGAGGGTGCTTGCTGCTGTCTGCCTTAGGAAGGGAAAGGGTCCTGCAGGGTGGGCTGGGGATAAAGGTGAAAACCTCTGCCCACCCTCTTCAGAGTCCAGCTGGGCTTCAGGGAAGGGTCAGCTCAACACGCACACCCACCTCGCACAAGCTGTAGAGCTAGGTACTAGGAGGGTTGGGTGAGGACCGCGGTGTAGACCTCCTGTTTAGACTTGGGCCGACTCCAAGGACAGGACCCTGGAGACCTCGTTCCTTGTCCAGCCCCCTCCCACTGGGCCTGGGCCCCCGGCCAAGGAAGACACTCGCAGGTTCACACTGCCCAGAGCTGGGAGCAGTTCCTGGACTCCAGGGCTTCAGAAAGTTCTGCACTGCACTCGTGGCGCCATGTGGGGCACCCCAGGTGCTTGTTTGACTCCCCTCGGCCCCTCTCTTTGTTTCCACTGTGGCCCCTGGGCTGGTCTTACAGGCCACCCCTGCCGGCTTTCCCCACTGTCTCTCTAGGAGCTACAGACGTCCTGAGTGAGGCCACAACAAGCCACAGGCTGCAACCAGCCACACAGGAGTCTTGGGGCCAGGCACCTCTTGGGAAAAGCCAGGGCTGGACCTTCCAAGTCCTGCTCTGTGTCTCTTTAGCAACAGCAGGAACTTAAAAACCATCCACACATGGCTCTCTGTGGCAAGAAGCCAGGAGAACTGTGGCTGCTCTGAATCTGTTCTGGCAGGTGCTCTCCCCCTCCACGGGCCCCAGAGGAGAAGCTCCCCAGGGACTGCAGTGGCCTGACCTCCCATGGAAGGACCCAGGCCTCATCCCTGGTCTAATACAATCAGGAAGGCAGTCAAATGCTCTCTGACAGCTTTTGCATCTCAGGAATCCACTCTAACCCCCTGGACTTGTTTCTGGAAGCTTGGGAGCAGTGTTCAGCCCAGCCTGGGATGTTTGGGGCAAAAGCATCCCTCTCTCCCCTGCTTGAAGGGCTGAGCAGCAGGTCCCTGGGACAGGGGCGACTAGGCTCCTGGGGGCCAGGGCAACACCTGGGAGCAGCCTACAGGCAAGGTGCCCCCAGGAGGCCAGCTGTGGCGACAGCAACTCTTGGGGTCCACAGATAGGCCCTCCTTGGCTACTGCAGGTCCAAACACCCAGAAGAACGAAGGACTGTTCAGTGTGGGGTGCCTGCTCCTCCAGAGATTTGGCTTGAGTGTCAAATTTCCAGAAGCAGCTTTCCAGCCCCCATCGCTCAGCTCTCAGCCAGGGGTCACTCGAGGATCTCCTGATTCCCACCCTTTCCACCTACCAGAAGGCCTACCTGTGGCAAAGCTTAGAAGGTCAGCCACGGACTTCCCTGGTGGCAAAGTGGTTAAGAATCTGCCTGCCAATGCAGGGGTCACAGGTTCGGGCCCTGGTCCAGGAAGGTCCCACATGCTGCGGAGCTACTAAGCCTGTGCACCACAACTACTGAGCCCGCGTGTCACAACTGCTGCAGCCCGCGTGCCTCAAACCCGTGCTCCACAACAAGAGAAGCCACCGCAATGAGAAGCCTGTGCACCGCAATGAAGAGTAGCCCCCGCTCACCACAACTGGAGAAAGCCCGCGCACAGCAAGGAAGACCCAACGCAGCCAAAAAATAAATTAATTAATTAATTAATTTAAAAAAAGAATAGAAGAGAAAAAGAAAGGCAGCTGCTTCTGACACCCCCCACAAGACACCCACTGGATTCCTCCCTCTGGGGAAATCCTTAGGGTCTACTGGGCAGCAGCAGCATGAGGCCTGGGGCCAGGCCCTTGTCCTGCTTCTGGTCCTTGGGTGCCCGGCCCATGCATGCATGCCCCTTAGATGGGTGCTCCTGCCTTTCACTCCAGGGCCCGGACTCCCAT